AAACAACACCAACAACTCTCATCTCAGTCAAATGATAAAGTTTGCTCTTGTCATTACAGTTGTCTTGTGCCCATGTCACTGCTTTCCCATTGTGTGTACTGGATGGTTCTAGGGCAGGCAATGTCTTCAGCTGTGCACAACTCCACTTCACCCTGTACCTTGGGAATCAACTAGCCATTTTATAAGTCTGTTCTCTAGAGAAGAACTTCTCAAACTCTAATGAGAATAAAAATCACGTAGAGAGCTATTAAAACACAGATTCCTAGGCCCTGTTCCCAGATAATACTGATGCTGGTGGTTAGCTGACTACACTTTGAGTCACACTGTTTTCTAGCACAAAATAAAATGCTTGGAGTATGAATTTAGGTTATTGTATATTCAGTCATCTCTCATGTTTTATGAGACATAGGTTTCTGAGATTCTTACAAATCAGAAAATCTGTAAGTATAAGTTATTCTTGCCTTACATAAATTATTTGTTTCAGATTGAACCCCAGATGGTGGCCAAGTGGCCCTGGAAATTCTTTCTTTTTTTCCACTGTTTAGGATTTAAAGCTCCCTTTTCTTTCTCTTTGTTGCTTGTGGCATTCTACTCCTTCCTACTGTGTCCCTTTGTTACCTTACTCTAGGCACTGGTGGCAGGAGGAAAGGGTGCTAGGTCTTCTCTCCCAGACCCACTGTTGCTTGATCTGCATTTCCAGTTCCCTTTTCTGAGCTTCCTATCTTGATTTTCATCTGTTGGTTAAGCTCCTGTGAGAAAATGCTTCATGAAAACAAAGGTTAAATATTTCTCTGAAATGTTTTACTTCAGTACTTTCTCTACCCAGAGACCCACTCACCTTTAGTACATATGCGGCCTTCATTTTTCTCCATAAGGTTTAATGGGGGAGGAAAAGTGATGATCTTAGTAGAAAGCTTTAATAACCTCCTATCTTTTTCCTGTTGTTTCTGTTAGTTAAAATCTTTAAAAAGCCAAATGGGCTGTGTGTGTGCTTCAGGAACAGCAGGGCTGGAGAAAAATTGTGAGATTGCAGCTTCTTCATGGTAGCCCAGATAAGGTGAAACATCAGTCAGAAACAATAGGTAGGAAAATTTAAAAAGGAAAAAGTAGGCAGGCCAGTCCCTGTGTGTTTAAGAAAAAACTTCTATATAAGAAAAAACTTCTATTGAGAGGGAGCCAGTTTATCTGGAGGTTTAATCTGGTGTGAAGTTTCTGTTCCCTGTAATTCCTTATTCTTTTATCTTTCATCCCTCCTTACTGTCTCTAAAAACCTTCCACTCTGCCTTAACTCGCCACCCTTAGGCCACAGGGACCACCTCCAGTGGCCTGGAGCTGTAAAAGTCTTTAATTCCACTGCCTCAGGGGAAAATACATACTTGCTTCTTAATTGGAATGCTTATCACATTTGCCCTTAGATATATTGTTACAGGAAGTCGTTAAATCCCATAGTATTAATAATATTAATACTCTACTTCACCTATGGAGAGTCCCTGAGTGGGGCAAATGGTTAAACGCTTGACTACTAGCTGAAAGGTTGGGGGTTTGAACCCACCCAGAGGTCCTTCAGAAGACTGGTCTGGCTGTCTGCTTCCAAAAGGTCACAGCCTTGAAAGCCCTATGGAGCAGTTCTCTGCACACATGGAGTTGCCATGAGCTGGAATGGATTCAGTGGCAGCTAACAACTTCACTTATAGCACTAGGACTTAATTTTTTTTTTTTTTTTGTGGGATGGCTTAGGAACCTAGCTACCCTTTATAGATTAGTTCTGTGAGAAATATATTCCAAGTACCAAACTTTTGACTTGCAAATAAACTTTTAGAATACAACCCATTTACATGTTGTATCACGTGTGTATGTGTGTGTATTTATATATATGTGTATCTTAAAGGGGAATGCTGGTTGTGCAGTGGTTAAACAGCTTGGCTGCTAACCAAAAGGTTGGCAGTACGAATCCACCAGCTACTATTCGAAAACCTATGAGGCAGTTAGTTCTACTCTCTTACAGGGTTGCTATGAGTTGAAATCGACCAGCTGGCAACGAGTGTACATATTTTGATTTGTTTATGTTTTTGGATATGTGAACTTGAGCAGGCTTGATCTGAGGATAATTGTGTTTCTTGACACTGAAATAATTCAGAAAAGAGCAATGTACAATATGATACCACTTGGTTATGTGTCTGCCCAAATTAGGAAATGCAATAAGTTAAGTATAGTAAAATAAATAAGTTGAATGCTCAAATGAAGAGATAAAGGAAATCTTTTTACTTTTAATTAACTACATGTTTTATAAACTTATGCAAATTACATCTTATGTGAGCGTGTGAAAATCCGTATGAGAGTTGTATCAATCAATGATAAATATTTTCTCCCCTTTTATCTTCTCACCCATCTGCTGCACGTGCATTTGACTTTCTTTTAGGCATTATGATTGAGGATGTGGTTGAACACTGAAATGCTGTAGGTACTAAATGCAAAAGTATTGGGGAAATAGAGAAAAACTAAGGATTATCTGTCTGCTACTAAGAGAGTATATGTTACTGTAGTTCACTGCTCAGATCCCAAGTCTTAAAACACCAGACTGAACTAGAATCAGAGTTCAGAGTTCCTGTAATCCAAGAGCAGCCATGATGACTGCTTCTTCAAGGAAGGGCTCCAGTCATATTCCTCTTCCTTTGCCTTCACTGGCCACTGCTGGCCTGAGAGTTGCCACTATGGGTAGTCTCTGTGGTAGATATTTGAGATACAAAGGTGTCCTTTTCATTTTTAGGGCACAGTATCATAGAGCTGTAAGAGGCCCTTAAGTCTGTGTAGTCCAACTTCCTCTAGAGTTGAGAAAGTTGAGAACAAGAGTGATTAGGTGACCTCCTGAAGGTTATACAGCTAGGTAGACTCAGGACTAAAACTGGGACCTGGGTTTTCCAACTTATTCAATACAGAGAACTAGAAGCCTGGAGTCCTACATGGAATTCTAAATTCTGTCCTAGCTTGTTCTATAAAGCAGAATGAGATGCAGTACTCTTTGTACCTCTAGGTATCACCACCTTGACAGTGGATACTCTTGTGTTTGTGATACTTGCTATTTTTAGTTACTTAGTAGTCCCTATAATGTAAGAGGTTTTGAAATTTGTAGTGTCTCTCTTCTTTGTTTAATTCATTTGATGAAAATATTTATTGAGCACTTAAACCCTTTGGCAGTCACTAAGGTAGGCATTGGAGCCCTGGTGGTGCAGTGGTTAAGAGCGTGGCTGCTAACCAAAATGTTGGCAGTTCAAATCCACCAGCCCCTCCTTGGAAACTCTTGACGGCAATGGGTTTTGGTTTATGGTAGGTGTTAGCGATACAGAGGCAAACTTGCTTTGTAATAGGGCCCTTTGCTAGATTGCTGGCACATGTCTGTGTTTTCAGCTAGGCAGACTTTGGGATAAAAGAGCTCCTGAATCCTTGGGAATACCCTATACTTCGAAGCTTCAATTAAAATCAACAGCACTGTGACTGTTGTGGACGTCATTTGCGGTATCACTTAGTGACGGTTTCTGAGGAAGCCCAGAAAAGGAATTAATGTTATCCCAGAAGCAGGTGTAGCCCTAGAGAGATGGGAAAAAAATACAAAAATTTAAGAAAACAGGAAACTTGTTAGACTGAGGAGGTTGAATGTTGTATATAAATATACTTTTCAAAGCACTTTCACAGTTGCTGTTTTTCTCACAATCCTGGTTCAATGGTCAGGACATGTATTCTTATCTTCGTTGGACAAGTGAGAATATTGAAGTCCAGAGAGAGATATTGAATGACCTGCCCCAGGACACACAGCTAGTTACTACAGAGGAGGGTGGGCTAGGACCTGAGGCTCCTGACTTGTAGCTGAGTGCTTCTTCTGTTGCAACGGAGTGCTGCAACAGGTGAAAATGGCGCTGTCTGTAGTGCGCCTCACTGTCCTTGATGGGAGGCTCTTTTTATTTTGTTTTGTTTTGTTCTGTCTTATTTACTTATTTTTTAGTGCTGAGGCTGAGCTGAGCTATTTTTCTGTTTCCAGTGTTCAGCATCGCTATTGACTTAAATGGGACTTTTTTGTGGGACACAGCAAATTGCAAGACCTGTCCTCAGGCCAGACAGACAGGAACTCGAAGATTCTCTTCATGAGATGGGTGGCTCCTAAGGTTGCTACTGCTGAACCAAACTCTATCCTGGTAGATCGGAGGAGTCAGAGGTCAGAGACCACATCAGTAATGAACCTCTCATTAGGGTCACCTGGGACAGGAAGGTTGCTTGTTTTCTAAGTTTAACACTTAGAAGAGTCACACAGCCCGTGACCTTTGCCCTTCTTAGTTGGCGATAGCGGCCCTTTGTCAGTAGAGCATTCACGTGGATTCTGCTCCATTGTTTCAGGTCACTCCCCCTATTAAGTCTGAGGCAGCAAAGGGGAGTTGCACTGCTTTTCTCACTGTGAAGGAGGCTCATGCATTATGCTCAGCCAGTTAACAGGTCAGAGGAATGGGATCCCCACTGTGCAAAATACACACGTGTGTAATAAATTTGGGGTTAAAAATTTTGCCTGACCATCAGACACCCTGAAAAATGTGGTATCTCTTTTTTAGTAGCTACAAAATGAGAAAGATTAACTTCTTAGATTCTTTCGGCAAATACTGTGTGTGTGTGTGTGTGTGTGTGT